TCCACAAACGCGTCCATATTCAGGCATTGAGGAAACTCGACGCTGCTAGTGGGACTTGGCCCCAGGGGATTAACAGCCAACCAGCGGCAACCATTGTAGAACGCACAGACAAAAAAAACATTCAAAACAACCCTGGGCATGAAAGCCTCTTTGTTGAGGGGTCATTTGCTTCAGTACTGAAATTTCGCCGTCCGGGGGACTCGAACCCCCGACCACTAGGTTAAAAGCCTAGCGCTCTACCAACTGAGCTAGGACGGCATGTGGTTATGATGCTGCTGATCTTGGTTAAATGCAGGATGTGGGTGGTAAACGCGTCAAAAGGACCAGGGGCAAAGGCTGGGCCAAGGCCGAAAGTGCGAAGAAAATGAGCAGAGTGTTGCAAATAGGATGAAAGGTAGCATGAGGTACAACTGAGAGAAGAATATAGTGTAGTCTTTATCTCTATCTTATTGAAGGCGAACCTGGGCCCGCATAATGCCTCGCACGGGCCCAGGAGAAACCGGTCCGAAGGTGGTGCCTAACTATCTGTGGAGGTCACACCTGGCCACATGTTTGAATAGAAGTACACAGCCGCGGGGCCATGTTCCCGTTTCTGTTGCTTGCAGATGTCGTTTCGTTTTTCCTTTTTTTTTTTTCCTCTTCCTAGTACTCCTCTTTTTTTTTTCTTTTTTAACTTCTGACATCAGGTAGGAGCGATGGTACGAGCATGCACTCCTACCTGACTTGCCGGGGGCTCCAATCTGTTGGTGGGGAGCTGCACCTGCTGGAAAACGGGTCCAGTGTCCCTTGGAGTACGGTTAAAGGATAATAGTACAGCACTTGCTGGGAACAGTGCCCACTGCCCACAGTGTTTTGCCCCCTTTTTTTTTCTGTTTTTTTTCTTTTTCCTCACTCGCAATGGTTCCCTCAATTCTATCAGGGCAGGCTTCTCATCCTTACTGCCCGCAGATCTGTAAAGAGCCTGAGCTGTCGAGACGGGTTTCCCACCACGCGCCCAATGGATACACCTGAAGTTTGCTCTTCACAGGTTCTCTCTTTCCTCCCTACCAGTAGCGTTCCCACTGCCCCTTGCCCCACTCTCACTGCTCAAGGTGACACTGCTACTAGTGGCTCTGTGAATTTCGCCCTGCCCTACTCCCGGTTACTTCCCTTGTCTATTTATGAACTACTATTGCAACCTTCTCATATAAACTGCAGCATATCAACTGAATTTCTCATCCATTATGATTCCCTCAGCTATATCAGGGCAGCCTTTTCGTCCTTTCTGTACAAAATACTGTGAAGAGCCTGAGCTGCCGAGACGGGTTTCCCACTTTGCTCTTCACCTGTTCTCTCTTTCCTCCTTACCAGTAGCGTTCCCACTGCCCCTTGTCCCACTCTCACTGCTCAAGGTGTCACCGCTACTAGTGGCTCCGTAAGTTTCGTCCTGAACCACTCGAAAATTGCTTTCTCTCTCGTTTGTAGGCTGCTGCAACAACGTTAATCAATCGTGGCATTCTGCTAACCAGACACCCAACAACAAATAAGGAACGTCAGCGACAATTATTTAACACATATCTAACCAGATTACTGCATTACTACTGTGACCCATTGCTATGTCATTACGTTACGTGTTTCTAAATACGAAACACTATAGGCAATATATGTAACAAAACTAAGGAAGAATTATACTGCCTAAAAGAGTCAAGAGACTACAGCCTCATTGGTACCCTAAAATCCAACAGAGAAGACAGAATTTCGACCAGCCTAGAAATCATTTCGATGGACTAGCCCTAAATCTATGAATCTAACCAACAAATACGGCTGTGTACAAAGCATAGGCACTCAAAGCAAGGAATCTACCCAGCAACGAAGACCAGGTGCAAAACCCTGAAATTCAAGTATTCCATAACCACATATGACCAGAAGTTCTCCTGAGATGATAACGTCTTCCTACTAAATTTGGAGTGGAACCTGGCACCGTCGCCCTTGGGCTTCAGGTCTCCGCACTTCCGGGAAAGGTCATTGCCCGTGCTGCACTCATGATGCTCCCGAAAACAGTCCCACCGCTGCCAGTTGCTCTCCCACTGCCTCCGGAGGCGCTGCAGCCAGATGCACCGTTCGTCACGCACTAAGCTTTCTCTCTCCTTCATCATGCTCAAGCTCTCCCTATACAGTTCGAGCTATAGATCCGTTAGATATGACTGCTGGGTTGGCCATCCGCCCATTCAAGCAGCTGGATAGACCAACACCATAGCAAAGGCTATGGTGGGCCAAGCAGCATGCGTCGAAACCCTCTGGAGAACTGAAGTCAAAGGTCGCACAACTCCTCTCATGCGCATCTCGGGCCTGCTCCTGCAGGCACGAGCCTTTAGCTGATACCCGATACTTCATCTTGCAGGCATTCACTGACTTCCTTCATTGGCCGCCTCTTCACTGACTTTTCACGATGTCGTCACGTTTTAAGAAATTGGGTGTTCATGGATTGAGTTATCATGGTGAGGGCACTCAGGGATCATGCTCTGAACGCACCGGTGTTCCTATCTCAACCAAGAGACAGTTGAACATCATCTCACGTCGGCATAGCTCAGCTATGCCGGCTACTAGGCGCAGTGCGTCACTCTCCCCAACGCGTCCCATGGAGCAGTGACCCACACTTAACCCCGAAAACGCCGACCGCCCCTCACCCGCTAGAGCAGCGCTAATCCCGCATGCGGAATAGCGCTGCAATAGCGCACACGAGCGCTACCGGAGCCTCTTCGGTCCCCCTCCCTTTTCCCCCTTTTTGTCGTTGGTATCGTTTCATTTTTCATTGTTTTTTGTCGTTTTCTTAGGGCATGCTCTCACCAGGACCCCAAACTCACCAAATGTACAACATGAGAGTGGATCTGCCGCTAGAACATGGAAAGACTCACCGCCACATTTTGTGGCCCAAAGTAAAGCCCCCGAATGTTCGAATAAAAGTTCATAGGGCCTCGCTCCACTCAGCACATCCAGAAAAGACGAAAAACGCAGTGGTGTACTTTCCCATGTTTTTTAGCGGAAGATTCATTCTCATTTTGCACATTTGGTGAGTACTGGAGCAAGGCCAATAGAAGGCCATGGCACACTGGTGTACTCTCCCATGTTTTGGCGGAAGATTCATTCTCAATTTGAATGTGGAAAATGAGAATGGATCTGCCGCTGGAACATAGAAAGATGCACCGCCACATTTTTTGTCTTTTGTGCATGTGGCGAGTAGTGGACCCAGGCCGGTAGTATCACTCGCGTAGCATCATACTCCCCTGTGGAACGGGAAGAAGGGCGTGACAGGGGAGGAGGGGTGGGAGAAGAGTATGGCAGAGGATGACTAAGTGGCAGAGAGGAGGGGGAGGGGCAGAAGGGCATGACAGGGAAGGGAGGGGAGCGGGAGAAGGGCATGACAGGGGAGGAGGGTCGGAGAAGAATATAGCAGAGGGATACGGGGAGCTGCATCCACATGAGGTGGGAGAAAATGGGAAGGAGGAGGAGGAGGTCACAGAGGGACAGGCGGAGGGCAGGAGCTGGTATATGCGGCGGGCGGAGCGGCGGTGGCCAACCACTTGTAATAAATAAAAGTATAGAAGGGCTTAAAGACAAAAAGATGAAAGGTAAGGGCAGTGAGGGCGATGAGGAAGTGTGTGGGGAAAATGGACTCAGCTTTGTGAAAAAGGGAAACCAAAGGAAAAAACTGAGAAATGCTGGGTGGCTGAATGGTGCACCCATGCAACAGTTGATATACTGATGGAGAGTTCAAAGCCTCCGGCATTTACTAATGGTAGGGGGGGTAAACCCCTTTGAACGTTAAGCTTTGGGGATAATTTGCAAGATACACCTATAAGTTGAGATAAATGCCAAAATGCCCCTGCAAGATGTGGGTAGAGCAGAATGCCCCTCTGACAAAAAAAAGATTTTGTGAAATACCCCTGGTGTTGGTTGCACCCTCATCTTTGCAGTATACCCCTACGGGGTAGCATCCAACTTTGCAAAAATGCCCCAGTACTTGCCAACTTCTCGAAGGAGTAAAATGGCCAACGCCCGAACGGGGAGGTCCAGATTGCAAATTTGTGCAGCGAGTTGACAGGGGCCGAAAAGGGCATTCCGCTCTACCCACATCTTTGAGGGGCATTTTCGCACATATCTCAAGTTGTGGGGGTAGTTTGCAAATTATCCATAAGCTTTATTGATAATATATTAGTATTTAACATGGCAGCGGCGGACAAGTGAACCGGACAAGTCCGGACACCGGAAACCGGATTTCCCGGTTTCATCGAACGTCCGGATTTCCGGTATTTTCCGGTTAATCCGGACATGTCCGGATCGGCCTGTCCGGATCGGCTTGTCCGGATGGGCGTACATGTCTGGATTAAAAAAAAAAAAAAAAAAAAAAAAAACCCTGCTATACAAAGTACTGCAAATGGGTTGAAAACAACAAAAAGGTCATGTGGCACAGGTAGGGGCGGGGAGGGGAGGTTATAGTGAGTACATGTCAACAACCAAGATGAGGTGGAGGGCGAAGACGTGGAGGAGCAGCAGAAGGAGGGAAAGGACGTGGACGGGGAGGAGCGGGAGGAGGATGAACGGGAGGGGAGGTTATAGTGAGTTCATGTCAACAACCAAGATGAGGGGGAGGAGGGCGAAGACGTGGAGGAGCAGCAGGAGGAGGGCAAGGACGTGGACGGGGAGGAGCGGGAGGAGGATGAAAACGAGGAACATGACGACAAAGTTGCGGAAAAGAAAGGAAAAAGGCCAAGGGTGCCACGTGGCATGAGCAGGGAAGGGAGCGGGGGAGGTTATAGCAAGTACATGACGGTGACCAAGACGAGGAGGAAGAGGAGGAGCGGGAGGAGGACACAGACATGGAGAAGGAGGAGGCGGATGGAGGAGCAGAAAGGAGGAAGACCATGACAACAAAACGAAGAGAGAGAGAGAGAGAGAGAGAGAGAGAGAGAGAGAGAGAGAGAGAGAGAGAGAGAGAGAGAGAGAGAGAGAGAGAGAGAGAGCTGCTTGCACTGCTCTTTGCTGGGCTCCTCGCGTGGCCTTCGCTGCACCCACTGCCAGCTCTCCTGCGCCTGCTCCGCATCTGCTCCTTGCCTGCTATGGCCGCCTCGTTGCCCTGCTTCTTCCTCCCTCTGACAATGGTGGTAGTGGCGGGCATGCAAGCTCAAACGTTGTTGTGGGAGGGGGGGCGGCCGAACTTGCAAGGCTTCATCCAGAGACTGTGCCCACTACAAAGCTGCTACGATGCAAGGAAACATAGAAGGAAGTAAACTTCCCACAGGCAAAAAAAAAAAATTGTGGCCCTACCGGATGCCCCTTCAGGGCCAAAAAAAATATGCTCGTATTTTTGGCTGCCGGCCCTGGGCGAGACGAAACGCCCTAGACATCCAAAAAAAAAATTGGCCGTTGGCCAAAGGGTCTGGAATCCGGACCGGGATCCGGACACGTTCACCGGACACCGGACACCGGACACCGGACACCGGACGGTCCGGATCCCTGTCCGGATTTCCGGATCGCTGCCATGGTATTTAATAAATTAATGATTAAATAATTTGTCTTACCAACTGGGCTGGCCGGATGCCTGTAGAAACAGAAAACAAGAAAAAGGAAAAAAGAGAAATCCGAAAAAAAAACTTATTAGTATTTAATAAATGAATGATTAAATAATTTATTAATTTGTCTTACCATTGGGGCAGGCCAGATGCCGGGGCTGGCCAGATGCCTGTAAAAACAGAAAACAAGAAAAAGGAAGAAAGAGAAATCCGAAAAAAAAACTATGTTGTGCAGAAAAATAGACTGAGTGGTTTGAAAGCCATGGTTGGGTATGTATTTTTTGGCTGTTGATTATTGATTGGCAGCGGATTAGAGACGGTCCCTGGGGGAGGGTTTCTCCGGTGACGCCTTGTTCCCTCATGGGGGCCGCATAAACTTTTGCAAGGGGTGTTCCCGGCCTGTATAATGATATTAAAAAAAAAAAAAAGGATGATGAAGACAAAAATAAAAATAAAAATAGACTGGGCAACTTTCTCTTGCCTAACTCGAGCTTGTGCCTTTTTCCCGCTAATGGTGGCTGTTGGATATGCGGGGGGAACTACGTTGATTGTTTAGGAGCAAGTAGCTGTTAGCTAAGTTTTTTAACTTCTGAAGCAAGGCACTACTTTTCTGAGGACCTGACAACCTCCGGTTCAGGGCACGGGCTCGAGCTAGCGCTGAATAGTGTTGAGTGGGATCGCCTGGAATCCCTCTGTTCTCTAGATCTTGACGACTCTGTGAATCTGGTCTTTTTAGTGTCAGTAAAGGGGATTATGTCGTTGTTTGGAAGCGAGTAGTTGTTAGTGAGGTCTTCGAACCTCTGAAGTGAGGTACTACCTTTTCTGTGGACCTGACATCCTACGGTTCAGGGCACGGGTTTGAGCTAGCGTTGAAAGGGACCGGCCGGAGTCCCTCTGATCTCTAGATCTCGACGACTCTGTGAATCTGGTCTTTTTTTGAGTGACAGCTACGGCTCTGTGGAACAGATGTTAGTTTCCCATGGATCTGGACTTCTTTTGGGACGTTGGGTAGTGGACGTGATGGTTACTCTTTTCGGCGGTAGTCTTCAGGAATTTTCCACTACTATATATACGCAATTTACATAGGTTTCGTTGCACTTGCGATGACTGAAGACCCCTGATGATGGCTGGTTAGCGGACCAGCCGAAACTAGTCGGGTCCTACCGCTGCTTTCATTGTTATATTTTTAATGTCGCGTCTGGGATTTTTGTATTTGCGTATCTCTCTCATTTCTTTCCTTTCTTTCTCTTTCTTTCTTTTCGTCTTTCTCCGTCTTTTTCCATCTTTCTTTCCTTCTCTCCCACTTTTCTCTTCCCTCTGTGCTGTCGCAGAGATGCTGCTGCTGATGATTGTTTTTTTGAAGCTAGTCTGTCGACTTGTCGTCAACTGCAATTTTCTCTTCTTTTTTTCAACTTTCTCTTCTTTTTTTTCTTCGAAGAATGTGGAATTTTATTACAACAGAGATGGGAGGACAGGGGGTGCGCTGGGAGTCAATACGTGGGGATGGGTAGGGTAGGTGCCCTATCCTGTCAGGACAACCATTTGCTGCCGTTACTAGCAATCACCATGGGGACCTTGTCCCACTTGCACCGTTTAGTTGAGGCAGCTCAACGGTGCGGCAGCTAAAAAAAATCATTCTAATTCAATTTCAAATGAGAAATGCATTTATAAATGGCACGAATACAATGGTTCTGGTTTTTCTTTTTTCGCAATTGAGTGGCATACCGGCACTTCCACAGCAGAAAATGAAGAGTGAGTTGCCAGAATATCTTTTGTACAAAAATGGCAAAAGGAAGGAGGCTCGTACAGTTTCTCTAAAAAAACACCTTTTGGGGGAACAAGAGGGTCGTTGAGCTAGCTGTCTCGAAAAAAGGAGACAGCTAGCTCAACGGAAAGTGGTGAGGGTAGGGGGAGTAGTATTCGAGAGAGAGGATTTACTTCTGCTTTTTGTTGTAAGAAAAAGCAAAGATAGTCTCAATTGCCTTTTTTATTAAAAACGGACCGCTAGATGACTTGGACGACGTGCATCTCCGTTGTCGCGTACAGTCACACAGCGTCGGAAACCCAACGTTGACCTAGCTCAATGGAGCTAGTGGGACAAGGTCCCGGGTCTGGTCCTTGGCCTCTACAACACCCTGGGCTTAACAAACAAACAAACAAACAAACAGAGATGAAAAAAAAAAAAAAAAAAAAACAGAGATGAGAGGCTGGGAATATCTCACAAACAACCCGGAAATGATGGGGCCATTACCCAGCTTCGGCTCATGCTGGAAACCAGGTCCAGCCTCCTTTCCTCCCTGATCAGAGGACATTTCCCAAAAGACCATCCGAAAATCTCAGCTCATACCAGAGCCATTGCTAAACCTTCCTACCTATTCTTGGGATCATAGTCCCTTTTTTTTTTTTTTTTTTTTTTTTTGTTGGGATCATAGTCCCTAGTACTCCCTACTACATTCACCCACGAAATTTCTGCCTAAATAGACAGAACTTAGAACATACACAACTGAGAGAGGGTAGACTGTGGCTAACAGGCCATCCCCACCTGTAGAGCAATTTGCCCTCTGGACTGAGGGGGTAACCATGGAGTGATAATCAGTTTCCCATCCTGCGAAAGGGCTGCCAGCTGGCTGTCAGCCGCCCAGGTATGACGGAACCACAGCGGACTTTCCCTCGGCCAGTCTGCAATTAATGGTCAATCTGATCTGAGCCTCGATTGCACCTTACAATACCTCGAGAGGACTCGTCTCTGAACAGCTTCTGGGTACGGGCTTGCCAAAATCAACTTTTGCTGCAGGGTGGAATCATGTTTTTTCGCAAAATTAAAATGAAAAAATCAAGTAAAAAATATTCCTGTGAAAAAATCAAGTAAAAAATATTCCTGGGGCCAAGTCGCACTAGCACGAGTTTGGTTTTGATTCCTACACCGGTGCGGCAGGCTGCGGCGGGGGGTGGCACCGTGCGACACCATTTCGAAGCTTTTTTGAAGAGTTCTGAAAACCGTGTAGAAGGGTCC